TGAACGGCTTGGAAATAGCATCCTATAAGCATCTGCAGCATACATCAACATATTTGTTTTGTAACTATCAGGACATATTTTAGAGCAGAAGGCAGTAAACAATCATCACAATATATTGATAAAATTTTGCATCGATTTTTATTTAAAACTCCGGGTTGAGGAATATGCCAAACACTTTGGAGTCATTATGAATTCCATCCGCAAGAACTTCAAAATTGATTTTATTTCGCAGTGAGTAGCTGGGTGAAGACGAACATTTTATAAATCCATTTAAAATTAAAGAATAAAATAAAATTAAATTATCTAAATCTAAATAAACGGTCCCACAAAAAATATTCATAATGAGCTTCTAAAACGAATAAATATAAGTGATTGCCTTTTGTTACACACGTCCGTATCATTAACGTTATTCCTCACCAAGCCTCAAGAAACAGATGAGTCCATAAGTTTGTATGTTCTATTATCTAGTTACACAGTTATGGGAATAGTGACAATGCCAACTCAAATACCATGAAGAACTCTGGAAAATGTAGTGATCATATAAGTGAAGTGGTTGTGAATCAGAATTTTCTAAAATATCAGCAAAATGCAGTTTTGACGAATGGTCGTAGAACTGTTTTCGCAAAAAATTGAAAATTTACATTCAAAGTGTTTTTTTATGTTACTTCATACGCGAAGTTAACGATTTTCAGAGTTGGTTGGAAATGCTAACATGAAGCTTTAGTGTGATGATTTATTAGCTAGAGAATGATCTTTAGAAGAATGTAGGTGGATAGTTCCGTTAGAGTACGGCAGTATGAAAATTGAATAGAAGTTGAAAATGAGCGAAGGGCCATTAAAGCGACAGTTTTCAAGATGACGCACATTTTTGCCTAGCCCGTACGATGTACGCGGGGACTTGAAGTATGTCTCCAAGTCCACAGGCAAAAATGTGCGTCATCTTGAAAACTGTCGCTTTAATGGCCCTTCGCTCATTTTCAACTTCTATTCAATTTTCATACTGCCGTACTCTAACGGAACTATCCACCTACATTCTTCTAAAGATCATTCTCTAGCTAATAAATCATCACACTAAAGCTTCATGTTAGCATTTCCAACCAACTTTGAAAATTTAATCAAATTGAACAATATATCACATATCAGGCATAACATTTGATAACGTCACAAAAGCATTTGTAAACAAACTTTCTAAGGCCCTTTACTCGCGAACTAAAGTACGCCCATGCAAACCAATACCACTTTCGGAAAGGTGATAGTTGTCCCTATCCGATGATATTGTTGGTTTGCGTGGGCATACTTTGGTTCACGTGTAAAGGGCCTTATAAAGTTTGTATACAAATGCTTTTGTGTCGTTATCAAATGTTATGCCTGATATTTCGCTTAAATGCATTTAAGACCTTCAACAGACGTACACAGTACGCCGTTGTACCTCCGGTTGGAAACTAAAGATTTAAAATTGGATCCCTACTTTACTAGCCTATTGGTCCCAAGCAAATCGATTAACGTAACCCATTCTAGTCGAAATTCTGCAGTTGTACTATAGAGGTATCTCTAATCGATTCACCCCTCGAAACATAGGAAAAACTAATAACCCCTCATTTTATCTGTCAAATTTTCATAGCGAATCAAAACAAACATTGCGTAGTACTAGAATTTCGACTAGAATGGGGTACGTTAATCGTTTGCTTGCGACCAATAGGCTAGTCAAGTAGTGAGCCAATTTAAAATCGTTAGTTTCGTATTGATTGTTGGTACCAGAGCTGAGTCAAAAAGTTGAGCACGTTTCTTCGGGATCTGCTGGACTTAGAGATACCTCTATGGTACGACTGCTGAATTTCAACTGTAATGCGATAAGTTGATAGATTTGCTTGGGACCAATAGTCTAGTCAAGTAGTGAGCCAATGGATCAATGAAAATACTGAGGTTTTGACATAAGTATGCTGTGGCTACCACAGTATTTTACATTTGATCGTCCACATATAGTAGCTTCAAAAGCATGCGGTGGTGGGTTTAAAACTTGACCATCTAAAATGATCAATTTAAAATCGTTAGTTTCCACCGGTTGATTGTTCTCTTTAAGCTTGTACCTCAAATTATACATTTTGTAGTACTTCATCTGCGTATAACTAGTACGCTCTTAAGGGAGTATTCCCAATCTTTTGCCTTTTTTCGGCCTGTTTTTCAATTAATTTTTTTTCAAGGAAAATGAATAGTAATGCGCCTAACTCTTTGGGATTCTTGTTTATTGAACATTAAAGTTTACAAATAAATTTTTATCGACATAAAAAAGACATTATTGACGTCACAAAATGGCGGCAAACAGACCCCTGTTCGCCGCAAACGCCTGGACGGGCGAAGACTTTTCTCTGGAACGGCTTCATCTGAAACAGATTTCGTGATGAAATTAATAATCTGCATAAGATTCTCTGGAGCTTCTCCCGTTGGCAGCAAAAAATCTTGCAAATTAACAAAATGGCGGCCATATGAAAAAACAGGCGATTTTTAGCCCGCTTTTTTGCAGCTTTAAGGTGCTTCAAACAATGTTAAATGTTAATATTTTTGGCTGAAAGTGGGAGAAGCTCCGAAGAATTTAATAAGGAACAAAATGCGTAAAGATTCAAGTCAATATCTCTTATAGTTTCTGAGAAAAATCTTCGCCCGATAAAAAAATGTGGTTTCGAGAAAAACGCGTTTAAAGTTTTGACTATAGTTAAAACCATTTTGGGGGTTCTTACCATTAGTCAGCTATGCCTGGACACCGAATTCGCTGATCGGAAAACGGCTTGGGGGGATGAAAGTATATAGTCTAAAGTACAAAAAAACGTGAAAAAAAAAATTTGATTTTTTGAAAAAAAACAAGATCAGGAATACCCCCTTAATAGCTGCAAAACCATTCTTCTTTGTTCATCATCGACGATAATAGCAATATGATCAATTCTCATTTGTTCCAATAAATTCGATGACAATCATATAATTTAGTTTCACAAATCATATGTTAAGCTGTTGGTTCTGTACTTCTCAAATACATACGTTACACCAAATAAAAAAAAGTTTCATAAACCGATTATGTATTGTGCATACTACTGAGAATTTAAACATTTCTTGCTGGAGTTCCTATGTCGCTAATGGTAATTTTTACGTCGGACGTCGCATGTCCGTTTTGGTTGGCACGCGACAATAAGATGAATTTTTAACATTAATTTTATTTCCTGTACATCATTTCCAAATTCGCTCTATTCAGATAACACTTCTGAAATTTGTGAGTTTGACAGAACCACGAGCACCAAATTGTCGGGGTACACTCATAGAGGTAACTCTAAGACCACTGGGTCCCGAAGAAAATCATTATTATGTTTGGCTCACTCAGTACCAGAACAACGGTCCCAAGCAGTCCCAAGCTATTTCACTCACCCCTGCATGTTCTGCATGAATCCACACACCCCTGATGTTATCTGTCAAACTTTCATAGCGAATCAAAACAAACATAGTGTAGTAATAGAATTTCAACTAGAATAGGGTACGTTAATCGTTTGCTTGGGACCAATAGGCTACTAAAGTGGTGAGCCAATTTAAAATCGTTAGTTTCGTATTGATTGTTGGTACACTGGTAATATACTAGAGCTGTCATGTTGCCCCCGAGTTGGGAGAGATTATCTGCCACTAGTTAGACGAAGTTATCTCTAACGGATAATTTTATATGGATAGCTGTCATAATGACTTTTTGTAGCACTGCAAAAACTTTTTCTGTTCGCCACGATTGTGATGATGAATTTTTCATATTTGATTTAACAGTGGATTCAATAAAAATAGTAGTCTACAAAGGGGTTTGAGCCTCGCGCGCGTATTACAGATATTTTTTTTTTCTTTGATTTGTTTTCCGTCGATCTTGTTTTCCGTGCTAAGCACCAATGCTACCGACGCCAGGGAGGCAGCTCCCACACCTGGACCCTACCTATCGACCCATCAACTCATGAACCGGGGACCAACGGCTTTACTTCCCTTCCGAAGGATCAGAAATGTTATGCCTCAGAACATCCCGGCGGTGCCGACTGGGATTGAACCCAGGCCTGCTGGGGTGAGAGGTTATCACACTTACCACTACACCACCGAGGCCGCTCCCGTATTACGGATATAGAGGACTGAATTTAACATTTGATAATAAAAAAAATGCAATTTTGAAATTCAAAATTGAAAATCAGGAAACGGACTAAAATTGGAAGATAACTTGAGATAGTAGTAAGTTTTCTGGCAAATGTTGGGGGTTCGTGAGCATTCCTGACATTGCTGAAAAATATGATAGCATCAGATTGCGGGGTTGATAGTGTAATTGGATGCTTTGTTGATTGTTCATTAACTCTTGATTGCTTGTAATACTTATGAATATTTTAGGTGGACAAAAAGGCGAACTAAGAGGTGGGCGCCTGAGATTTTCCACATTTATATCGCTGTGAAGCAACTGTAAACTCTAGAGGGAATTTATATCTGTAACTGTAACCAGTTCGATTGTGTTTGCTAACCTGGTTAAAATGTCATATTTAACTATCTTAGAGATAAATCTTCCAGCTCAAACCTTTGTAGGGGTAAGAGGTGGGACCATCATCATCATCAACAATAGTAGCCTCATGTGAAGTAAGTTTCCGTGAAAATCAAAAGTAGAATCACGTCACATGAGGTGATAATTGTTACATAACTAGAGATAGAGAATTTCCTCACCCCTCCTGTCGTGCAGAATAGGCCTCCTAAGTAAGCCCGTTATTTGTCCGCTAAACGCTCTTTTTGCATTATATGGTTCAAACTTTATATCAGCCGTACATTAGCTGTATATTGCAAAATAAGGCGATTATCGGGCTTGTAGGATGCTTGAAATGATATCTTGGTGATTAGTCACACTTAAAGCGAATATTCCAATTCAACTTTGCTATTATACTATTTCACTTTTCTTTCACGCGTAAAGTTTAAATGCGTCTTTCTAATGCTGGGTATTTTTTCTTTCATTGCAGGAATGAAATTCGATTCAATGTTATTGAACGTTCTTTGACGAAAATCTGGTAGATGGTAAGTATTATTGAACTCTACAACATTATTTTCCAACAATGATTCCCCTTTTCTATTCTATCGTTTTCACTTTAATGTTTAATCTTCTTGTGTATAAAGATAGTGTCATAGGTGTTTTTTTTTTTACATTTGTTGATTGTTTCAAATAATCAAAACCCTTTTAAAACTTATTCGAACGCACCTATTTGAACAGCGTAAACGAGTGGTTAGCTGCGTGATTCTCTGTTAACCATTTTCTAGAATATTACATACGCACCAGAGTTTCATTACCCTACCCATAAACATATGTGTGTGGAATGGTTTAAAACTGAAGATCTGGTATAAAAGCCCAGTGGCCGTGACGAATAAAAATTTTATTTCACTCTAATATATGAATAACAAAACACCGACGTACCTAATCGTGTCCTTGCTTTGCCTGAGAATGAAGCTGAGATAAAATGAAACAAAAATTGCGGGAAAAAAGAAATTACGACACTTATCGTGGTAGTGGCGGCCACGAGCATTTTTATGTCATGGTTATTTGTGTAGGTGGCTGAAAAACATTACAGAGGGAGGATAAAAACTTGTAGACTCTCTAAAGACGGCAGGAAATAAAAATCCGCAATGAATCCGCAAAAAAAGAACTGCTCTTTCTGCTCTCATTCTACCGACCATAATGGTTCATGAAAAGAGCTTGGGGCCTTCGTTAACTGAGTCAGTAGAGGCGCACGATTATACAGCATACCACGTTGGAAGTGGCGGGTTTACTTCTTGGACTGGTTGAAGATAGGGTATATAAATGCTTCGGCCTAATCGCCCATTTTGGGCCTATCGAGCAGAAAACATCATATATATACAAGATTTTGGCGTAAACAAGTCAATTAGGCGTTTGGTACGATACTTTAGTTCAAAAGCTACCGAACGAAGTCAATAAGAACGTGTGATATGAATGTCTGCACCCATTATTCTCAAAAAACAAAAGAAGCGGAGCGACCGAATCAATTGTTATCTTCATCCGAAAGGCCTAAGCAAATTCAATGGCGTTTCAATGCATTAGGCCGAGTTTAGAATCCATAGGCCGAGTTTGGGGTCAAGAAGTAGTGTTAGATTTTTAACAATATCTCAAATGTTGTGATACGTATGGGAATGAAAATAAATTTAGAAGGCATTTTCAGTAAAAACATTCTATTTTGTGATAACATTAGCTTGAAAATAGAGTCAAAGAGCGGGTTATGCTTAGTAGGCCCAAAATAAGATCTAAGTCCTTTTGACGGATTTAACATTTTCTAAACTTCTGCGGACAATGGGTCTGTAGAAGGAATCGGTTAAATTGTAAACAATAATAACTGCTTAAAGACTTTCACCTAACATCTTTGCTCGATGAAACCGGCGCCGGTGGTGTAGTGGTAAGCGTGACTGCTTTCTCACCCCAATGGGTCTGGGTTCAATCCCAGCCGAGGTCGGTGGGATTTTTCTGAGACATAAAAATCTCTGGTCACGTCTTCCTTCGGAAGGGAAGTAAAGCCGTTTGTCCCGGCCCATGTGTGTTTGAATGGATGCGATATCCTACGCAGGTGTGGAAGCTGCCTTCCTGCACATTCGATTGCCGTCAATGGATGGCAATCGATGTCCGTCGGTGATTGGCACTAGATTGCGGAACAGAGACCGACGTTAAATAAAGGAAAGAAAGAAGAAGATCTTTGCTCGATGGACACTACACGGGCGATGGGGTAATTTAAAATTGCAAAAAGTGGGGGGCTACCCAGTGAGTGAGTAAAATTTTCCTAGATTTCCCTCACAGATCGCGTCGTATTTATATGAGGAAAATCGATAAACATAATGTAATCCGTTTACGAATATTTTCATAGACTGAGTAAAACTTTCATAGATTTTTCTCATATTGTGGCGAACCAGCCTTTAAGAGGTTTTCATCTTAATTAAAAAGAAAAAAAAAAATCTCATATTCATGCTAATTTTTGAGGAAAATCGATGGACCCACTTATGAGTCGGCCGTGTATTTTTAGGGCAAGCTTAAACATCCAGATAGGTCGCTATTACCAAGACGTAAGAACGTGAAAAAGCTTGATAAGTGGAAGGTGTGATATCCATGTGCGAACTTGTTTCACTGTTGGCCGAAGGAAAACTTAATTGGAAAGTAACGGAACATAAATGCCCGCGACATAGGTCGTTTCCTTGATATTTATGTATCGATAAAGATTAAAATGACTCTCTGCAGATGTTTTTCTTGTTTGCTACGTTCCAACTGGGACTTGACGCCTACTCTCAACTTAGTTGTTGATTGAGAGCTTTCCAAGCCCGTACCATTTATGCATTGGTATTTTTGTGTAGCAAGAACAATCATATATACTCTATGTCCAGGGAAATTCCTAGTCCGGACCGGGAATCGAAATGCCTCCTGCAAAGTCATACTTTATAGCAGTGCCATTATCGACTGAGCTCAAGGAGGCCTCCTCTGCAGATGTGTTATGAGTTATTAAGCTGGGTTGAGAGGATTGACCCTCTAAATGTTTTCAATGCTGAGAAAATGACATAAAAGTGAAGTGTAATGCAGAGTTAGAATACTAATATTCGACCTAAATATTTTGTATAACTTTTTGAAAAAATAAATGGTTAAATGCCATCCTAATCTTTATGGATGTTAATTTATATGTAACTTATCTGACATAACGTTTGGTGTTTACCCGAGTAACCGGTCATTGCTTTTTTTTCCTTGATTTGTTTTCCGTCGATCTTATCTTCTGTACTGAGTACCAATACTACCGACGCCTGGGAGTCAGCTTCCACACTTGGACCCTACCTATCGACCCATCAACTTATGGACCGGGAACCAACGGCTTTACTTCCCTTCCGAAAGAAGGCGTGATCAAAGATTGTATGCCTCAGAAAATCCCGGCGGCGCGGACTGGGATTGAACCCAGCCCATTTGGGGTGAAGTAGTAGTTAAATGATGTTTATTCTTGTGTCGCTTGATTATTTTAGGTGCTAAAGTTAGAGCAAGTTTATATCTGTAGTTGTAACCTGTTGGATTTTTTTTAGTGAAAATCTGATTACGCTGTTTCTACTTAATTACCGTTAACATAAATCGTACAGCTAAAAGCTTTAGCTGCGTCGGTGGTGTAGTGGTAAGCGTGTAGTGCCTCTCACCCCAGCAGGCCTGGGTTCAATCCCAGTCGGCGCCGCTGGTATGTTCTGAGACATAACATCTCTGATCACGCCTTTCTTTGGAATGGAAGTAAAGCCGTTAGTCCCGGGTCTATGAGTTGATAGGTCGATAGGTAGGGTTCAGGTGTGGGAGCTGCCTCCCGGCATCCGTAGCATTGGTACTCAGTACGGAAAACAAATTTGACGGAAAACAAATCAAAGAAAAAAATAAATATGGCTTGTGATTTTCAATCAAATCTTAGTATGTACAATCTGGTGAATAAGTTTTTTTTCAAGATCAATATCAGCTGTCATCGGGGAAGGGAGGGATTGTTGCTACGATTTTCGTTATTAATAGCGATCGAGTATCCTTCTGCATCTACACGGTTGACATGGGAAGGGCGTTTTTTTAGTGATATCTGGAAGTGAAGTATATCGGGATGCACTTTGTAAAGTGATGCGATCTCTTCATGGGGTGTTTACATCCGTGCGAATGTGCTAGAGCTAGTGTACTAGCCAACTAGCACGAATTTCAGATGCTCCTGAAATCTCATGCTGTTAGACGCTGATGCCCTGTTTACAATATGCTGGCTATTTTTTTTGCAAAGTGCTAGTACACTAGCGCTAGCAAATCCGCACAGATGTAAACACCCCATAAAGCATGATTAGAAAATGCTGCAAGGATGCGTCCCTGTGAACTCAGTATATTAAAAGGGCTTGGGATTGAACCCACGATCTTCTGCTCACTAAGCAAAAATGGTCGCCACTTGGCCACCGAGCCCTCAAAACAGGCCGGATACAGGAAGCTGTTCAAATGAAATAATGTACACAAAAGCAGTCAACAATATTTCCGAATCCAGATCGAGCATACTTGATATTTTGGAGGGAAACACGATGGAGCTGTCGAACTGAAAAACTTAATATAAACCAGTGGTGGAAAAAATCAAGAAAATCCAAAATCAGGAACGGTCGAAAATCACTGCTGACCTTGAGATCAGCAAAATCACAAACAGAAAATCATGGCGGATTTTATCTTAGCTGATCTTGAGAGTAGCAAAATCACACAGCGGAAAATCAAGGCTGATATTATCTTAGCTGATCTTGAGAGTAGCAAAATCACACAGCAGAAAATCAAGGCTGATTTTGCGGTCACAGAAACCAAACGAAAAATCAAAAGATTGGAATAACAGTCAAAGTAAAAATCCGACATCCACCGCCATTTTGGAAATCAAGATGGCGAAACAAAATCCAATATGGCCGCCCCGGACAGGGAATATTCATCTAAACCCATGTAATATGGGTATCTACGGAATGGGCTCGATGAGGGGAAGCGAAAAATTGACATCCGCCACCATTTTGGAATCCAATATGGCGGACCAAAATCCAATATGGCGGCCCTCGGACTAGGAATATGCATTTAACCCATGCAATATGGGTATCTGCGGAATGGGCTCGTTGAGTGAAAGTGGAAAATTGACATCCGTCGCCATTTTGGAATCCAAGATGGCGAACCAAAATCCAATATGGTGGCCCCCGGACAGGGAATATGCATCTAAATTCATGCAATATGAGTATCTGCGAATAGGGCTTGATGAGTGGAAGTGGAAAATCGACATCCGTTGCCATTTTGGAATTCAAGATGGCGAACCCAAATGCAATATGGCGGCCCTCGAACAGGGAATATTCTTCTAAACCTATGCAATATGCGTATCTACGGAATGGGCTCGATGAGTGGAAGTGGAAAATTGAAATCTACCGCCATTTTGGAATCCAAGATGGCAGACCAAAATGCAATATGGAGGCCCCCGGACAGGGAATATACATCTAAACACATGCAATATGCGTATCTACGGAATGAG